TCTACACCAAGGCATATAATAATCAAGAGTCTAGAAGTTCAGCACAAGAATAGAATATTAAAAGCTGTTCGAAAAAAGAAACAAATAACCTATAAAGTAAAGCCCATCAAAATCACAGCAGACTTCTCAACATAATCCCGTAAGTCAAGGAGAGCTTGGAGTGAAGTATTTCAAGTCTTGAAAGAAAATCTCAAATCCAGATTGATGTACCCTGTAAAACTGTCTTTCAAAATTGATAAGATAATTCCATGACAAAGAACAACTGAAGAAATCCATGACCACCAAATTAGCTCTTCAAAATGCTCTGAAGGATACTTATTTTTGAGACAGGGTTTTGTTGTGTAGTTTAGGCTGACCCTCAACTCACTATATAGCCCAGCTGGCCTCAAATTCATGGTGATCCTCCTTGCCTCAACCTCTTGAGTGCTGGGATTACAAACATGTGCCACCATGCTTGGCTTTCTTAAGTATATTTTAGAAATGTATAATGAAGACCACATTTCCAAGAATATCAATAGAAAGAATCCATCTGTCAAGGCAAGCAATTACACAGAGGGGAAAGACAGGGAACCCACAACAAGAAAATCATGTGACAAGGATAGGCCAATACATATCAGTTAACCATCAATGTAAATAGTCTCAGTTCATCAGTCAGAAGCGGACTGGCAGAATGAGTCAAAAAACAAGATCCAACAATATGCTGCATACAAGAAACACATTTAACTCAAAAATAAATTCATAGATGGAAAGTCATATGATGGAAAACAATACTTCATGTGGCAGGAAGCCAGAAAAAAGCAGAAGTAGCTATTCTACTTGCAGGCAAAATGAACTTCAAGCCAAATCTGATCAAAAGAGACAAAGAAGGTCACTACATACTTGTTAAGGGAAAACCCCAAGAGCAGGAGATAACAATCATAAGTATATATGCACCAAAACCAGTGCACACAAGTACATAAAACAAATATTAATGGACAAGAAAAATCGAATAAGCACTAACACAATGGTGATGGGAGACCTCAATATCCCACTGTCACAAATAGATCAACTAGAAAAAAATATCAACAAAGAAATATCAGAACTGAACAAACCTGTGAACAAATGGACTTAGTAGATGTCTATAGAGTGTTTCACCCCACAACATCAGAATACACATTCTTCTCAGCTGCATATAGGACTTTCTCCAACATAGGCCCATACTAGCTCATACAACATGTTTAAATAAATGTAAAGGAATTAAAATTATTCCATGCATATTATCAGACCATAGTGCAATGAAATTGGAAATCAATAGCAACAGAAACCACAAAAACTCCATAAACACATTGAGGTTAACACCCTCCTGAAGAAACAATGGGTCACAAATGAAAGAAAAAGATAAAACATTATTTACAATTAAATGATAATCCCGATACAAGATATCAGAATTTATGGGACACAATGGAAGCAGTCCTAACAGGGAAATGTATAGCGGTGATGTCTCACAGCAAGAAAAGAGAGTGAGCCAGTGTGCTGTGCGCCATGGGCCACCCCACTCTCTGTGTGGGTGCTGGGCTACTACTCAGAGAACCCAGCAGTGGCTTCTGGGAGGTCGGCAGGAGGAAGGTCCAGCACCAGGGGGGATGGTGAGCCCCCGCCGCTCTTCAGCCTAGGCACCTAGGAGTGCCTGGTGCTGCTGCTCAGCTCCTTCAAGCTACTGGGCATCAGCAACAATGTGCTGGTGCTCGTCTGTCGTCTACTATGAGCTCCAGCGGCTGCGCTCTCCCACCCACCTCTTGCTCAGCCTCAGTGACCTACTGGTGTCCCTCTTCAGAGTCACCTTTACCTTCATGTCCTGCCTGAAGAATGGCTGAGTGTGGGACACGGTGGGCTGCATGTGGGACGGGTTTAGCAGTAGCCTCTTCAAAAAAGAGTTCTAGTCACAATGCATATGTGATGTATTTTGGCATTTACGGCTAAGATGAAATGCAGGAATGAAAACCACACATCCATTTTAGTATTCTCAGTTGTGATTAGAGGTATTGTTTCTATGCTACTGACTTATTTAAAAAGCTTTAAAAAGGTAACAAGTGAAACAGCTACTACCTGCAAACTTGGTTTCCCTGGAAGACCTGGAACATTACAAGCAAAGATTTTATTTCAGGATAACCACACCTCAGCAGAGCTTCATCCTAGATTCATATTTATTTCCTTCATCGGCATCTGTTACCTGGCTCTTTATTTCCTAGGATGGCAGACAAACTTCCCAGAGTTTGATGTGGTTATAATAGGGACGAGTTTGCCTGAATCTGCCCTTACAGCTGCATGTTCAAGAAGTGGACAGAGGGTTCTAGATGTTGATTCTGGATACTACGGAGGGAATTGGGCTAGTTTCAGCTTTTCAGGATTGCTATCCTGGTTGAAGGAGTGACACCAAGGAAGAAACTGCTGACACATGGCAAGACTTGATCCATGAAACAAGAAGACATCACTCTTTGCAAGAAGGATGAGACCAGCACACAGAGACAGTATTCATGAGATTGGTGCTCTGCAGAAAAATGCTTCCTCGGTGGCATCTTCACTGAACCGCTACATTCTGCAGAGTTGCCTGGAGAAAGGCACTGATCTTTACTAAAAATGAATGCCTGTTCAACATGCCTTATAAATTGATAGCAAGATTTCACTACAAGAAGCTGATGTAGAGAAATCACCAGAGAAAGAAAAGTGCTGTGGGGATGTAACACTTCCAGTTTCAAGTGGAGCTAAGGTTGAAAACAAACCTACAGTAGAAGACAACACTGATCAACCAAAGAGAACCAAAGAGAAAAGTGATTACTTACCCTCAAGTGGTTAAAGAAAGCAGGAGATTTAATATTGATCTGGTGTCAAAGCTGCTGTATTCTCAAGGATCGTTGATTGATCTTTTAATCAAATCAAATGTTAGTTGTTATGCAGAATTTTAAAATGTAACTAGGATTCTTGCATCTCAGGAAGGAAGGTAGAACAGGTAGCCTTGCTCCAGAGCAGATGTCTTTAATAGCAAAGAACCCACTGTGACTGAGAAAAGAATACTAATGAAATTTCTTACATTCTGTTTTGACTATGAACAGTACCCTGGTGAATACCAAGATTTCCAGCAATGTACTTAAAAACTAAACTTTCTGAGTACTTAAAAACTAAAAAACTAACCCCCAACCTCCAACATTTTGTACTACACTTAATTGCAATGACATCGGAATCATCTTGTACTACATTAGATGGCCTTAAAGCAACAAAAATTTCCTTCTGTGTCTCGGACGGGTTGGCAACACTCCTTTAATTTCCTTTCCATGACCAAGGAGAAATTCCTCAATGTTTTTGCAGGATGTGTGCAGTTCTGGGTGGAATCTATTGTCGTTGTCATAAAATCCAATGCCACGTGGTTGATAAAGGATCTGGAAGATGTAGTCATAGATCACTTTGGTCAAAGAATAAATGCTAACTATTTTATTGTGGAGGATAGTTACCTTAATAAGGAAACATGCTCAGATGTGCAGTATAAGCAGATCTCAAGGGCAGTGCTTGTTACAGATCAGTCTGTACTAAAGACAGACTCTGATCAGCAGATTTCCATTTTGATAACTTTTAAATATAATGCTAAAGCCTGCAGGGATCTCTTGAATTCCTGGGTCATTTTTAATAGTTGGTGATTTTGGATAATAACCCGATCAGGAATTTTCTGGTGCCTTTTAATACCTTGCTGGGACCAAGAAAACTGCAGTTTCCTGCTCGGATTGCAGACCTGTGCGATGAAATGCACAGAGCCCCTCCCAGCAGTCCTAGCTCCCCTGGCTCCAGTGTGGCCCCGTTTCCCACCCAGCCTCCAGCCCAAGGCCCTGGTATACCCAAGCTCTCCTCTGCCCCCAAGGGCCTTCCCTTTCCACCCTTCTCCAGCCCCCAAGCCCTGTTCATTCTGCAATTCCTCCACGAGGCACCTCATTTGTCCTCTCTTGGAACTCACAAGCGGCCTTGCCTTTCTCTGTTTTGCCTGCCTCATCCTCCTTTGCATCCTAACCTCACGGCCATCACTCACATCCTGCAGTGCCCAGCAGGAAGGGGGCAGTGACTAAGCGCTGCTCAGCCCCTACCTCTGCCGTGATTACGACGTGGTCCGGGCGTCTCCAAACTTGCAAAGCACATCTGAAATGTACAATAAACTTACAGCAGAAATGTAAAGATGTTCACTTCTCAATGAATAAAATGCTCTCATAAGGCAGAAAAAGAGGGGGTGCCCACAGTGGCTCCCTCCAACAAGCCACCCACAGCATGGGATGTTTTGTGGACATTTGCCTAAATTCCTTTGAAATAACATCAAAGTTGTCTGCCAGGCCATCTTCCTGGGAGATGTTACACAGTTTTAAATCTTGCTGTGTGTGCCTATCCTTTTTCAAATAAAGTAAAATTAGGATGGTTTAACTCTTGATCAGGCTTAATAAATATGTAAAAGAAACATAGCTTTCTATCTCATCTTTCCATTTAGCAAGCACAGAGCACATGCATAACTTCTGTACTGGACAGGGGCTATTTCACCCTAAAGCGACACAGCGCCCAGCTGGGGTGGGGGAGGCGGTGTGGGGCAGGACATTCACGGTCCACCCCTTTCACCGTGGTTTGCAGCCCTCCCAGCCTGGGGTCCCGAGTTCTCCCAGCAGGCCTGGCAGCATCTGCTTGTGCAGCAGGCAGAGTGGAACAGAGCCACAGCCCCTGTCTTTCTCGGTGACAGCAGTGGAAGAGGGACCCCTGGCTCAAAGCCAGGACGGTCTTCAAAGGAAGAGCCACACGGCTGCAGAATAAATTAGCTTCCCAGGAGGTCAGCGAAGGGCTAGGACAGAGGGCATAGCACATTCTGTATGGAAAATCAGCACCCGATATATTTACAAGGCAAGCAAACACTGTCTGGGCCCAGTGGAGAGCTGCGCTCTGAGAGGCTGAGGCAGGAGGATTGTAAATTTGACTTGCCTGGGCAATTCAGTGAGAAAATAAAAACATAAATAAAAAGGGCTGGGCATGTAGCTCAATGCAAAGGGGTTCAATATTCATATAATAATACCAAAAATGTAAATTTAAAAAAGAAAGCAAAATGTAAAGACACAATTAAGCATCTGTGATGATTTATTCTTCCTGGTGCTGCAGCACTTGGTGGGCTTCTGAAAGTGGCCTCAATGCGGTGCCTTCTCCTGGGGCAAGGGCTGCCTTCCCCATAGGTCTAAGCCTTGAGCTCCTGTAGACTCCGGTGGGTGGAAGCAGGGGGCTTCGGGTCACAGCAGCTGAAGCTGCCGCCATCTAGAAGGTCTCCCTGGGAGGTGCCCTGGAGGCCGGGGTCCTCTGCATGCTTGGTGTCGGCCTGCGTGCCTGTTCTGTCCAGTGTGGCCTGGAGCAGGGCTCTCATCCTTTGGTTCTCCTTGGAGGTAGACTGCCAAACAAACTCCAGCTCACCTTCCATTTCTCTGAGAGCAATAAACAAAACCAAGAAAACGCTTACAGTAGCACAATGAAAACAATATTTGCAGAGTCCTTAGGAACCCTAAAAGAGCAAGATTTCAAGAGAAAGGCTGCGACACAGCAGAGAGCAGAGCCTGGATGTTGAATTAAGCACCCAGGGCCCCTGGAAATGGAAGTACAAGGGCACAAACTGCGGAAAGGATTTCTTACTTAAAGCCAGGTGTGGTGGCGCATGCCTGTAATCCCAGCACTCGGGAGGCTGAGGCAGGAGGTTCAAATGTTCAAGCCCTGCCACGGCAGCCTAGTAATTAAGAGAGATCCGGGTGCAAAAAGGAAGTGTGGGAAGATTTCTCATTTTCGCCTCTTAAAAGTTTTGCCTTCTTGACTTTGGCATTAAGACACATAGCCTCTGATCCCTAAAGAATGAACACATGCACATATCAGAGTGAAACAGTAATTGCAGGTGTGACACAAGCCAGTCAGACACCGCAGCACCATGGTGGCTGTGACCACCACCTCACAGGGCCATGAGGCCCCCAGGAGTGTGGGCGAGAACAGCAAGCTTTGGGAGGAGCAGGCTCAGGACAGCAGGTGTGGAATGGCCTGCTCCTCCTCGGACACTGCCAGATAGTTCTGGAAAATTCTAGAACTGAACTGGCAGGTGGACTCAGTGCGACTGTTTAATATTGAGGGTGGCCAGGCTGACTGGCCCACAGTCACTTTTCTTAAGAGATGCTGCTTCCTTTGGAGTCCCATGAAGCCTACGGAGAGTAGGCACAAATGGAGAACATTTAGTAAAAGAAGTCAGACATAGGGGAAAAACCCTACACTATCTCCTATGTGAAATCTAAAAAGGTGATCTCAAAGAGACAAGGGAGTTTAAGACAGGGTCTCACTATGTTGCTAAGTTGCCCAGACTGTGCTTGAACTTAAAATCCTCCTGCCTCAGCCTCACAGATTGCTGGGATTATAGGCCTGTACTACATGTCTGATTCAAAATTATAGTTAGAAGGAACAAATTCTAGTGTTGCATTGCATAAGAGGGTGACCACTGTTAGCAATAATTTATTGTACAGTGTATTTCCAAATAATGAAAATGATTGCAGGTTTCATACAAAGAAATTATAAATGTTTGAGGTGACAGATTGCTAATTACTCAGATCTGATATCACACAAGGTATACAAGTATCAAAAAAAAATCACCTTATACCCCACAGATCTATACAATTATTATGTGTCTGTTTGAAAAGAAAAAAAGGATGCCGGGTGTGGTGGCACGTGCCTGTAATCCTATCACTCAGGAGGCTGAGGCAGGAGGATCGCTTTGAGTTCGAGACCAGCCTGGGCCACACAGTGAGTTCCAGGTCAGTCTCAACTACATAGTGAGACCCTGTCTCAAAAAACCAACAAAAAAAGAGAAAAAAAGGAAATAAGCCCAATAAGGCAAGAGTCAACAATACAAGATTTATTTGTTGGTTTGTTTTGGGTTTTCTTGAGACAGAATTCTACATGTTGTTCGGACCGGACTTGAACTATGTAACCCCGGCTGGCCTGGAACTCTTGACAATTCCCTTGCCTCAGCCTCCCAAGTGCTGGGATTATAGGCATTTGTCACCAAGCCTGGCAACAAAATGAGATTTAAACACTATCCCCATCCCAATTTGAGATATTAGAATGGTCACGTACAATATAAAATAACTATGAATGAGATATTAAAAGAAATAAAAGATATATAAAAATAAGCAAAGACCAAGAGTTTATTTTTAGATGATAAGTTGCTTTTAAAAATAACGAAAAGAACTTCTGAACATTAAATATAGAGTTATTTTAAAAATGGATTGATTAAACAGATAAGAAAAGAATTGGTAAACAGCAATATTGAGCTGAAGAACTTATCCAAAATGTGGACCAAAAAAAAAGAAAAAAGAGAGACACAAAAATATAAAAATAAGGAATAAGGGGAATCAACAGCAAGGCCTGACAAACATCTAATCTGAGTTCCAGAAGGAAATGAAGAAAATGTGAGAAAAAACAGGTTTTTATGAGGCAATGACTAAGAATTTTCTAGGACTAATAAAAGATACAAAATTAGGTGTACAGAGTGTACTTTGAGGTGGACAAATAAAAAGAAATTCATAAACACAAAATAATGAAACCAGAGAACACAAGAGACAGAGAGGAATTTACAAAGGGCACGAACTGGGCATGGTGGGGGCAGGAGGGTCACAAAGTCAAGCCCAGCCCAATTAACACAGTGACTTAGTGAAACCCTGTCTCAAAATTTAAAATTTAGCTGGGCGTGGTGGTGCATGCCTATGATCCCAGCACCGGGGAAGCTGAGGCAGGAGGATCACCACAAGTTTGAGGCCAGCCTACACTACATAGTGAGCTCAAAGCCATCCTGAATTATATAGCAAGACCCTGTCTCAAAAAGAAAAAAGAAATTTAAAAGTTTGAAAAGGTCTGGGGATGCAGCTCAGTGTAAAGGCCGTGGGCTCAACCTCCCAGTATTACAAAAAATAAATTAAAATGTAAATAAATAGGCAACAGAAGCGATAGACCGCCTGTTTTTAAGAATAATTAAAAGGCTTCTCAACAGCAGCAATGAAAAAGACAGTGGAATGTGCTGACAGAAAATGTCAAGGTAGGAAGGAGTCTGTATCTAGAAAAAAATCAACATTTAATTTCTGGGGCTAAAAATAATGATAACAACAGATTGTTGTTTTAACTTTCAGGTATCTATTGCTCAGACTTACTTAGACTAGACAAGGACAACATATAAAGAGTATAAATAAGCCCGGTGTTGCATGCCTGTGACCCCAGCACTCTGGGAGGCTGAGGCAGGAGGATTCTAAATTAAAATCCTGTCTGGGCAACCTAGTGAGACCTATGTCATTAAAAAAAAAACCAGAAGCTGGGCGTGGTGGTGCACACCTGTAATCCCAGCACTTGGGAGGCTGAGGCAGGAGGATCACTGTGTGTTCAAGACCAGTCTGGGCTACACAGTAAATTCTAGGTCAGTCTCAACTACATAGTGAAACCCTGTCTCAAAAAAACCAAAAAAAACAGAGCGAGAGCTGAGAATACAGCTTAGTGCAAAGACCCTGGATTTATTTAACCCTAGTACTCCCCCAAAAAAGTAGAATAATTAAAATAAAGCATCATATCTCATATTTGGGGAGAAATATAACAATGCTGATTAAATTTAGATTTTTAAAACTCAATGTGCAAGGTAAATTTTAAAGGAATTCGCAAAAGAAGAATATATAATTTTTAAACCATCAGAGGGCAAGAAAATGAAAAACAAATGTAATTCAAACCTCCTGTCTGGAGAAAAACTCGGTATTCGTCTTTTTCCAAAGTGACTGTTTTATAGTGGTCAGAACTTCTGTGACTACAAAGTCCACGTTAGACAGAGTCTGCTTTGCCTGGCACTAAGAAGAGTGGCAGGGGCTGGGGTGTGGTTCAGTGAAGGGCACTTGCCCAGCCTGTGTGGCCTTGAGTCCCATCTCTGGCGCTGACAGGAGATAGGGTGTGGCGAAGCTGGCTGGAAAATGTGCGGGACCAGTCGACTGCAAGACCGCAGGACGGCTCCAGATTATTCCTAGGACCCCATGTGGAGAACTTCTCGGGGCCCCCGTGAGATGTGGGCTGCACCCGAGGACAGACGCCCCCAGGAGCCCGCTATCATGACTCCACACGGCCCATCCTGTGCCTCCCAGACACAGGGTGTACTTTTGTTTTTATCTCTTCTTCTCTTTTATTTGGCTCAAGTTTGCTCTGCAGAGCCAGTTTTTCCCTTTCCCCTTCACCCCTCACTTTTCAAACTTTTGGCATTTTTGGCTTGTCTCGTCCAATTTGTTCAAGGCAGGAAGGACCCGGAACATGTTGAACTGGTGAGCGATTTCTAAAGGAACGACCTGGTAACAGCACATGCACACACGCACACACACACACACACACACACACACACAAAACAACCCAGAATCTGGCTACTGGGTGTAGAAGTAAACATAGTTTTAATTGGCCCGTATTTGATTAACCACGCTAATACGCCCTTAGACGTAGCCTGGTCGGCTAGCAGATAAGGACACACAGGCTGAACAAAGACTCAGGCCAGAGATAAGATGCTAAACAAGTCTTCTGGAATCCTGGGAAGCCAAAAGGCTAAAAATAACTACAAAGGGAAATGCAAGAGGAGATAAAAAGAGAAGGAGGGGTAGGAAAACAGGTGTGGGGTGAAATAAACTGCTTATAGACTGTGAACCCCGGGTCCCAGGCCATGGGAGATGTGGAGAGGGACCCCTGCAGGTAAGAGTAAAAACAGCTTCTCAACTGGAGTGTGCCTGTCCCTGTATAGCCACTGCTCTTGCAAGAGTTTGGACTGAAAGCCTGGCTTCCACTGACTCTGGAGTCCAATTCCTCTTTGGTCTGGACAAGCGAGATCATTTCTTCCTCTGGGGAACACAGACAGACATCCACGTTTGCACGGTGTCACACGCAGTAATTACACTTGGAGAAAATCACAGCCAAGAAGTACTGAATTTTGTGACTGAATGAGTTTATGTTCCAGCTGGTCAAAGACAGCCAACCATGTGAGGGCGGCGGCGCTCCCTTCACGCAACACGTGACGCCCCCTAGTGTCTGTAACGCACTGACCTGCAGTCAGAGGGCAGATGTGTAATGTACAAAACCTCACCTCCTCAGAAACACACTTGCCCATACAATTAGAGTTACAATCTTACAAAAAGTAACAATCAGAGATCTTAAAGTTCTCAGAAATTAAAAAAAAAAAGAAAGCAAGCATTTAATCAAAGATTAATAAAATCTCCCAAGGAAAAGAAATGAAACAAAAATACCAAAGCGGAGAATAAAAGGAGACACAGGGCTCTGGAGTGTTTTTGGAAGTCTAACTCTAACTTGAATTTTAAAAAGAGAGTAAAGAAAATGAGAAAATAAAAATCAATGCCAATGCTAACCTCAAATAAAACCAAAATGTGAAAACAGCATCAAGCAAGCAAACAACAGGCCCTGAAGATTTACCAGGAAATTTCCTGAAACATCCAGAGGGCAGATGCCCGCTGGGGCCCTTGGCTGCAGGCCCTACCTCCTCTGCTGCAGGGCCTCGTCCAGCACCCCCTGCTTGTCCTGCAGCATCCGGTGCAGGTGCCTCATCTCCTGCTGGTAGCGAGCTGTCTTGCCGGCGAAGTCCTCCTGCTGCTCCAGCAGATGGTAGCTGATGCTGCCCATCTTCAGAGAAGTCTGCTTTCTGTATCCCTGAGGGGACAAGGGGCTCTGTGAGCAGGAAGGCCACCTTCTGGTCACTCTACCCACCTACTTTCATGCTGTTGGGGGTCAATGGAGTTCAATAAGCCCTGTGTAAGGGTGACCAGAGTCAGCAAGGGTGGGGATCCTAAAAGTTATAAAAAAGAGCTGGCCATGGTAGTACATGACTATAATCCCAGCACTCTGGGGAGACTGAGGCAGGAGGATCCCAAATTCAAGCCCAACCTGGGCAACTTAGCAGAGATCCTGTCTCAAAAGTGTGTGTGTGTGTGTGTGTGTGTGTGTGTGTATGTATGTGTATGTATATATATGTGTATATATATATATATATTATATGCATGCCAGGCATGCCTATGATCCTAGCACTCAGGCTAAGGCAGGAGGATGGCTGCAGGTTCAAGGGCAGCCTGGGCTACACAGTGAGTTCAAGGCCAGCTTGAACTAAATAATGAGACCCTGTCTCAAACAAACAAAACAAATAAATAAAAAGAAAAAACGCCTGGAGATGTAGTTCAGGGTGAAGGCCCTGGTTCAATTCCCAGTACAATACTCACAAACACACACACACAGATCATAAAAAAGAATAAAAGAATTTCAGGTACAATAAAACTCAATTTGCATTATATCGTTTTATATGGTATGACTAAAAATTAAACAAAATGTATCACCATCGCAGAACAAACTGGCTGTTCTTACAAATTACTCTACTTCTACATTTTCTTCAGGGAAAACTTTTATCCATTGGTTAACTGATAATAACTGGTACCCAAGCCAGGCATGGTAGCAGGCATGTGTAGTCTTAGCAACTTGGGAGGCTGAGGCAGGAGGACTGTTTCAGCCCAGGAGTTTAAGGCCCACCTGGACAACACGGTAAGAATCCAAGGTGTTTAAAAACAAAAAAAAAATCAAACCACAAACACCAAAGAACTAATGTCCACACTTGACAACTAACTGCTGTGCCTTATCAGGGAAACCCTACACAAGTCAACAAGACCTGTCATTCTCTGCTGTTAAACGGATGGCAAAGGTATAAGTATGGCTCGTTATTAGCCCTCTTTCCTTTTTATTGTATAGTTTTCAAGGTTCTCACAAGCGGAGCATTCCTAAAATTGTTGTCACAGTTCTGCTATGTAATTCACATGAACTCAATATTTTAAAGACATTCTGATAACCAGTTTTTAAATTCCCTCTGGCAGGAGAACGGGTTGCATGCATGTTTTACATTTCCAGGTGAAATAAACTTTATTTTTTATTAATTAAAAAAATTGGGGGGGGTTGAACCTAGGGCCTTCCCACTGAGCTACATTCTCAGCCCCTTTTTTATTTTTCAGTTTGAGACAGGATCTTGCTAAGATCATTAAATTGACCAGACTGAGCTCGAACTTTCAATCCTCCTGCCTCAGCCTCCCAGAATTACAGGTATGTATCACCTTTCTGCCTTCTGATTTTGTTCATTAATTTCTGGTTTTCACATTTGTACTCAACAAATGTCTACAGTATTTCTACTTTGGGATTTACTGAAGTATTCTTTGTAGCCAAAGTGAACAATTTGTGTTTTATTACTTATATATACATAAACACATCCCGTTCCTTATGTTGTCACATCTATAGCTTTACTTATTTTTGTTTAACCTTGATTGGCTTAGAGTGAGAGAAATTGAAGCTCTTATTATCATCTTTTATTATCTTCCACATTTATTATTATATTTTCATTTTTCCTTTGTGTTTCCTATAGTTTATAAATTCGCTGCTGTGTTATTTAATACACAGGTAATCACAACAACTACATATTATTTCTAATTTTTAGCATTATGAAGGCCTTCCTCATTGTTTTGTTGTTGTTGTTTGCAGTACTAAGGATTGTACTCAGCTACATCCCCAGCCTTTTTAAATTTTTGAGATAGGGTCTTGCTATATCAGTAACTTGTGAGCCTCCTGCCTCAGCCTCCTCCTAGACCTTCCACTGCTGGTGCTACCTGGCCTGCCCGGTAGAATCCAGGCTGTCTGGTGAGGCTGTAGCTGCAGGCTGGGGACCAGGAGTTGGGACACAGTCTACAAGGAGGGGGCACTGGTTAGGAACAGACCAGGGCAGGTACAACAATGCTTACTCTGGGCAGAGAAATGGGAGGGAGCAGTAAGGATGAAGGCAAGAAGGCAAGAGGCCAAGGCTGCTCTCTACCTAGACCAACAAATGTGGTCTTGATGACAGAGCAGACAGTCACTTAAAAATACAACCTGGAGAATTTCTGCATCTTTTTTTAAAAAACAAATTCCTGTATGGTATTTTGTTGGGAAGAAAGACAAAATTTATCTGATGAGTTAAGACAGTGACCATGAACAGTTTAGAGACTGATGCTCAAACTGCAACCCAAAACCCATTTATCACGAAGGGGCAACACTGCAATTAAACCTGAGTATCTGGTCCTCAGCAGCTGGGTGCCTTGGCTCACGTGCCCGCTGCAGCACACATGCCATAGGTTCGCCAACACTGAGATGCTATTTCTGACAGCAAGACCTTGTATTGCTTTACTCTGTGGATGACAAGTGACACATGCATGCAGAAATGCCATTTTCTTGATTCACTTTGATGGCGCATGCCTGTAATCTCAACACTTGGGAGCTGAGGCAGGAGGATTCCTGTGAGGTCAAGACCAGTCTGGGCTACACAGTGAGTTCAAGGTCAACATGAAGTACACATAGTGAGATCTTGTCTCATACCCCCAGCCCCATAGCATATACAGGTACAAATTCCCTTTGATGAATGTTATCATTATGTATGGCTAAAATGTACCAATAAAATTAATTTTTTAAAAACCCCATCCCTAAAGTCACTTTTTAAAACAGAAAATCTACATTTGTGAGACCTCTTTCCCATTGGAAAATGGGCTCTCTTAGAGTAAAGCACACTTACCTTGATTTTCTCCTCTAACTTTCCCAAGCGAATATTGCCTTTTAGGATCTTATTGAGGGCTCCGTTTTTCTCATTTTCTAAACATTTAGCCTAAGGAGAAAGGCAAAAACAAAAACAAATGGGGTCTCAATTTTACAGAAAAAATTAAAATGATGAAAAGTTTCTTGGGCTGGCAATACAGCTCAGTGCTGGGGCACCGGCCTGACATGGGTGAGGCCCTGGATTTGGTCTCTGCACCACGGGGGAGAAACCCTCTTGTGTAGAGTCATTCCGCAGGAGCAGTCCCCATTCTGCCCCGTCCTGTCCCTCCCACCTCACCCCACTGCCACGGTGACAGCTACGAGCAGCTATGGGCTGGGGTCTGACCAGGACTAAGTGAGGCCATCACACTGGGCACAGAGGGGTCGGTGTCCAGGCCCCACAGATAAGGGAAAGGTGTGACTGTTTCCAGAGCACAGCTTTATCCTCACAGAAAACAAAACTCCTTTAAGCACAACCGAGGAACAAGTACTAAGGTGCAAGTAAATCTGTCCCTGGACTGACTTGATTAAGGACAGCAAATGAAGGATAATAACATGAACACACAACACTGTTCTCCACACCAGAACGCCAGACAGCACCTTCACAGGGGAGGCACTTGAAGCTGAATGAGTTAAATTAATGTGCAGACGGAAATGAACCCCCACACGCTATTCTTTATTTCACTTGTCAATATTTAAGAAAAAGAAAAGGTGGACATTTCTTCTGAAGCAGTACGATGGTGGCGGTTCGACTTTCCAGAAAAGAAAGATAAGACACCGAAAAGTAAATACTGAAACCCTCAGTTAGAAATTAAGACGTCAGAGTTGAGGAGTATGACGTCTCCCACAGAACCCTGATAAATGAGATGGGAGATGGTGCCTGGGGAAGGGCAGAGTGATCTCAGCCACAGGAAGTCAGCAGGCCCTCCCAGAGTGGAGTGGGGTGGGGTCTCTCCCGGGGCCCAGGAGACCCAAATGGGACAAGGCGGGAGGATACGTTCAGACCCGACGGGGCAGAGGGCAGCAGGACAGCCGCTGCCAGGCCTGGTCCTGGACTAGAGGAGCGGCCCTGGCACCTCAGGGCCAAGGGGTCCCAGGCGTTGGGCAGCTCCCACACACCTCCCTGTATAGACAGCACTGTCTCTGTGTACACAGAGCTCCCTCGCGACAGGTGGAGCTGGAGTGGGTGACAGCAGCTCCACCTCCGTTTTGTTTCAGCTGCAACTCAGAAGGGCCTGAGGATTCTGGACCTCAGCCAGGCTTTCAGGTCAGGGCAGGAGGATATTTTATTTAATACTTGGGCACACAGTATGCGCTTCTATTTCTATTTCCAGGCCTGGCCCACAGATGCAGCTTGGGCTCAAGGGGGACCAAAAGCATGAGCGTCAAGGACAATCTTCCTCATAGACAACTGACGTTCGGTGGCCTATGAGGGAGGCGTGCGGCTCCCTGCCCCCCTGCCCTGAACACAAGATGGCTGTGCATTCAACGTGACACTAACATGTGGCAGGCAGGTCCCCAGGAACATCTGCTACAACACTTCACATTTTCCAACAATCTTTTCCTGTGCCCTCTGGATCTCCAAGTGGGTGAGGTCAGCGGCACAGCAGAGAAAAATGGGGACTTAGTGCTGTTATAGAAAGGCCAGTGCTTTGGTTGGGACAGGAATTTTTCAGGAGGGAGACAACCAGGCCAGGAGGTCTGAGTGCCTTCACGGTTCCTGCCATGCTGTGTCCAACTAAGGCAAACTGGTTTCTAGAAGACTCCACTTCTTAGAAGTCACCAGTAACATACAACCAGGCTTACCACACTCCTAACAGCGACTGTGAGGGTTGTAAAAGAATATTTTATAACATTAAATATAGAACAGTATTTTTGGTTTTTTTTTAAGACAGGGTTTTACTATGTAGACTGACCTGGAACTCACTATGTAGCCCAGGCTGGTCTCCAACTCACAGTGATCCTCCTGCTTCAGCCTCCTGAGTGTTGCGCCACCAAGCCCGATCTCAGAACAGTATCTTGATATTAAAAACAAAGACCCACAGTTTTCCCTAAGAGCTGCCTGCTGTCTATATTTCCTCCCATGTGAACAATTTCCGGTGGAGGAAATGAGCCGCTTTCCCCCAAGTAGCAGTGAGCCTGTGACACATCCCGACAGCTCACTCAGCCCTGGAGAAGGGAAAGCTCTGACTTTCCCACGACGTCGACTGGCTTCCTTGGTCCTGACACCCATTCGGCTACCGCTTGTAGCTTGTAATTCTACGCTACAGAAATTGCAACGCTGCTCAAACACACTAAAGCCTACACGTACACCGCAGAAAAAACAAGATGCAGGTAAGAAAGACTTTTGAAAAAGAAGACTGCCTGGAATTCCACCCCTTCGCGACAGCCCACCCATACAGTTGAGGATAAACCCCAGCAGGCCTTTTCCATCCACATGGCTCAGCATACCACAAGCCACCTCTTGCCACACGATCTGCTGCAGGTGTCTTTCTGACTCGGTGGAATTGCCCAGAATCACGCTCGCACCTCGGTCCTGCTGGCTGTGCCACACTTCGACACCTGGGACACTGATCACTGCCTGGTTCCCTCCCTCGGGACAGCAGCTTTGGGAAACAACACAGGAGGAATACCTCTGTGTGGGAAGCCACGGGTTGATGCTTGTTGAACTGTGTCTACAGGATGAGCTCTATTTAAGCTGATTTTTAAAATTTTTTTAGTGCCAGAAATCTCAGTGCGTTTTAACCACACACTCCACTGAGCCGCACCCTGCCCTGTGCCTATGATCCTTGGGTTCTGTCTTCAAATGGGGACAACGTCAGACAGCATAGAGCCGCACGTGTGAAAGAAACAAGTGATGTATGCTGCTCCTACTGAGTCAGGTGGCCTCATTCCTCAGTTTACCTTCCAAACATTTGTCACTATTGAAAACTGTGTGTTAATTGCCTTTTAAAAATGTTTCTGCCCATGGTTAAAAGTCCGATTTTGGAGAATTTGGAAATGTATGGTCGATTTGGGGGCCGGGGTTGTGCTGGGGATCGAACTTGGGTCTTTGCATTTACATGGCAGGTGGCGGCACAACTGAGCTAAATTGCCAGCCCTGGTTGACATTTCTAAAAAGGGAACTTTTTAGCCGGGATTTAGCTCAGTGGTTCTGCCACCTGCCTTGCAAGCACGAGGACCTGAGTTCAATTCCCAGTACAAAAAAAAAGGGTTGGGGGAGCTCTTTAGGAGAGTCAGTTTCTAAAATACTTTTCTTTCTTTTTGGTACTTGGAACCTTGCATTTGCGAGGCAGGTGGTGGAACCACTGAGCTAAATCCCCAGCCTTCTGAAAAATCACTTGTTTTTGTTTTTTGGGCTTTTTAGTTATTTTAGACAAGGTCTTGCTATTAGTTCAGGCTGGACTTGAACTCACCACGTTGCCCAGGTTGGCCTTGAACTTGCAGTGATCCTCCTGCCTCAGCCTTCTGAGTGCTGGAATTACAGGCACATGCCATCACGCCCAGCTAAAAAAACATTTTTGCCTATTAACTTTAACCGTATTACTTGACGTAACTGGGAAAACTTACCAAATACATAAGACTGTCTCGTTCCTGTGTCACATTCTCTGCCAGACCAACAAGGTTTGCCAGGTACTGGTGAGCGGACATTTCATTTCCAACGGCTTTTTTCACTTGCTTTTTGAGGACATCAATTTTCTTTTGGTATCTCCTGGAGAATCCCCCCAAAACAGTAAAATAAAAAAACTGATTAGCCTGCCTGGCTAGGGCACGGTGAGTATCTGTCTTATAAGAACAAGCATATTAACGTGGAGACACCATTCTTAGGGTTCAGGGTGTGGCTTAGAGGCAAAGTATTTGCCTAGCAATGCTTGAGGTACTGAGTTCAACCACTCCCTCATCGCTTCTCGGCCTTTTGACTAAGATCAAATGTAGTATCTGAGTTCAATCACCCAGCACTGCCTAAAAATAATAATAATTTTAAAAAACACAGCATTCTAAAATGCTATTGTTCAGCAATGTAAATCTTTTTTTTTTTTCTTTTGGTACCAGAGATTGAACTCACAACCTTGCATTTGCAAGGCAGGTGCACTGTCACTGAGCTGAATCCCCAGCCAGTTTAAATCTTCTATTAAATTTAAAGATGAAAAGATGTAAGTGAATTCAATTTAAAACTAAGTAAATAAATTGACTCCAAATTAAGTTAACAGGTTTCATAAAATGTCTTATAATAAATAGGCCAATTAAATATTATTCTATTAACTTTTTTTTTTTGGTACTTAGGACCTTGTGCTTGCAAGACAGGCAGAGGCACTACTGAGCTAAATCCCCAGCCCTCTATTAACTTTTTGACTCATGTTCAGAAAGATATTTTCTTTTTCCCAGAATCAGAAAAAAAAAAAAAAGATATTTCCTTTCTCTTTTTTGTCAGGGGCGGGGTGTTTTGATACAGGGTGTCACTACGTAGTTCAGATTTGTCTTAAATTCACTACAGAGGCCCTAGCCTCTAACTCACAGCAATCCTCCTGACTCAGCCTCCCAATTGCTGAGATTACAGGTGGGTGCTACCACACCCAGGTTGAAAGATACTTTTTAAAAAGGTACTCAGTAATAGCAACATAGACTTTTGGAAAATGGTCAGGAAAGAGCTTCTAGAAAATCCAAAGTCATAGGGTTAGCATATATTATTATCAACCATATCTGAGGTACAGACTTGTGAAATGCTGCTTAATGTTGGGCAATAGAAAAGCTTTCAGTGTATGTATATTCTGATATCCACTCATCCTTATCACTCTTAGCATTTTATAGTCACTCTTAGAAAAAGAGAAGATAAAGAAAATAAAATGAACTACCGTTCGGTTGTCTTTTGTTAACTAACAAAGGGAAACCGTGGAAACCTGTTCATCTTCTGCATCCTTCCGAGCTCCGCCTCCAGGGCTTTGTTCCCCACCATCAGGCTCTTTCTCTGCACTTGCAGAAGCGTCAGCTTCTCCACCAGCTCCTCCATCTCCGCACTCTCTTTCTCTTCCTCCTTCCGCAGCTGGCTGAAGGACAGAGACATCACAGGCTCGGATCCAGGGCACCCAGGACAAAAGGAGGCGTCGCTGCCAGAACGGAGCCCTGGGTGGCACAGAGAGGCCTCAGCACCAGGCCCTGGGGTCCAGCTGCGGGGGCCACGCTTCCTCGATAGTGGTGGTCCCGGGACCCCTGCATGTTTCTGCCCAGTCTTCGTTTCCATCTGTGTATAGACACTCACTCGTATCCTATTCCTTTGAGAAAAAAGTTCAATTTTTTATGTGGCTGAAAGTGCCAGGAGAAAACCCTAAGGCCAAAACCAATTTCACGTGACAATGTAATGACTCAACACGGGCTTTATCGTAAAAGAAACAAATAGAAGGGACTTGGTTGGTGAACGCCAGCTGGGCGCTGTCCAGGCTCTGTAGAGGGGAATCTGCTTTTGGAGCAGGAATACCGAGCAGGGCATGACTTTAAGGTCAGTGTGTCAACTGTGAGTAGAAACACAAAATCCCAAATTCACCTCTTTCACTGCAAACTGAGTTAGCTATTATTTACTGGAGAAGTCAGTGAATTGGGTTCCCAATAAAGGGTAAAGGACAGCGGTGAAAATATAGACTTGTGCTTCCAGCCAGGGTAAAGTTACAGGGGCCGGATGTACTCTTTGGCCAAAAGAGATTTTTTTAAAAATCGCAAAACAATACTTTTGAGACTTTGGAAAGAGGCAGGGCTGT